TAACTGGAAACAGGTTTTCTTGTCTCCTTTTTGCTGAACACGCATCCATTTTTAAGCATGTAGCCCTTTCTCAGAGGTGGAAATTTCAGATCCAGAAAGTATAAATCCAGACCAAGGTTTTGTTTCAACCAACCGGTTCAGTACTTTGTGACTGTGACTCTTTATACTCACCTGGTTGATTGAATAAAAATTTTGGCCTGGATTTTTACTTTCTGGATCTGAAATTTCCACCTTAGCCCTTTCTAAATACCCTAACCCCGCCTCCCATCCTTCAGCCCCCTCCCACTGGCTTAACTCAGCTTCTGCTCACTGAGGAATGATCCAGGCTTCCGGAGAGACTGCTCATTGGCTGCATCAGACCCTTCTTTTCGGTAATGGGCGGAGCCATTGTATTCCCTGGGGAGATTATTCAGGGGTTATCTGTCATCTGGGATTAAAATATGTCTTTTTAATACAAAATTGTACTTTATAATTTGCATTGTATAAAAAATACATTTCTTTCAGTATTTTTGTGTTTTGAAAATATAAGAAATACTTTGCCCATAATGTATGCGTGATGATGACATGTATGCAAAACATTTCTGCAAAAACAAGGAAGAAATTTAGTTTTTCCATACATTTTGATGAATGGTCATTAGAGCCAATAGTTGATTTGTGTTGAACCAAAAGACTCACAAGTTCCATTCAAGCCTATTTGTGTTTAAAGTTTTTTTCATATTCTTGAGTAAAGCCCTTAAATTTTGTTTGTCATTTTTCATTTATAACTTTGTTGTTTTGAGTTATTTGCATCTGTCGTAAATAAATTACAAAAAAAGCCTCTTTCTGAATCTGTTATTATTACTTTACCATTAGAATGACGTACCATTATCTGAGTGTCACATGAGAAGTTGGGATATATTTAAGACACTTCAGGATATTTGATCTTTTGTTGGTTTCACATTTGTATTGTGTCTCATTAAACAGTAAAAAAAACTCTTATACTTGGCTATTTAAGTCAGTGTGCTTGTGAAAGCTGGTATAGAACAGACGTATGTGAAATGTATTTTTGTATTTTTAAAATACAAAATACTGTAGTTTATATAGATACAAAATGGGTATTTTGTATTTTGTGTCAAAATGCTTTTTGATGCATTATTAACAAGATACCAGGCCGTTGCCTGCAACATCACCCAAAAAGGTCTTTTTAGTGTTTTTCCAGATTGTCACAAGCACATTTTCAGACATCACAGCATTCAAGCACAGGGACAGACATTAAGCATATCTTAAAAATGTTGCCAAACATGTGAAATGTGTTAAGTGTTTTATCAGTACTCTGTAAGCAGTTGCTGACCAAAATCAGATAAACGTTATGATTTTGGTTAACCTGGTTGTGTGACTCTGTTAGGTGAAATTGCTGCTCTGTGGTGGCCTGCCAGAGCATTGAATGTTTCTCAAAGCACCATTACGTCATGGAAATATTACTATCATTTTATCCCAAAATATTATTCTGCAATTTAGAATTGGGTTAAATACAGGGCAAACAATTTGCTATTGCCTGTTGAATGCAGTACTTTTGTGCATCTCGCAAAATTATTCTCACTAAGCAAAAAGCTGTTTATGTTTGTATGAAGGCCTTAATATTTGAATGTTGAATGTGATCTTTATGATTGGCCTCGTGAGTCTGCTGTCTGGGACACGCTCCAGGCTCACTGGACCTACATTTACGTTTCAAAGATAGGTGGATGGATGATGGATGGAGGAATGTTTTCTTTGGAGAACATCTGTGTAAGATCTGAGACCAAATCGTCTTATAAACACTTGAGATGCAAATCTGTCATAGGCCAGATATTGACTGTATTGATATTTTATGTAAATATATATTAATTTATTCCTGTCTGGAATGAGTTATGCTGCAAGAAATTGAATTTGGTTGCACTGGTTAAGTATCCACAGAAGGCAGGTCGGATTTGTTTAGAAATGGCCCGATCTATTCTGCACAGATCAAAGGGGATGAGATGGAAACATTCTAGTCTTTTTCTTAAGGAACACGTGTGATACTGATTGGATCTGATTGGTCCCTGGAGCCTACTTGTTTTCTAACTACTTACTCCCAAAAATATCAGGAAAGAAGCTGGTTTGATGCACGCTAATAGGAAATCATCTGCCCCAGAGAGAGCTTCAGAATACAAGCCAATTCTGAAAGGCTTCATTAGCAGACTGGCAAAGCTTCATCTCTGGAGCCAACTAAAGTGTGACATCCTGCCTGCTATAAAAATCCAGCTACAGCTTCAGCATTGGTGAGACCAGTAATCCCTAAGGGATTAGTATGAGTCTAAGGTGGAAATTCCAGGTCCAGAAAGTAAAAATCCAGGCCAAGATTTATTTTCAACCAACCAGTTCAGTATAAAGAGTCACAGTCACAAAGTACTCAACTGGTTGGTTGAAACAAAACCTTGGTCAGGATTTTTACTTTCTGGACCTGGAATTTCCACCTCTGGTGTGAGGTCAGTGACCTGCAGTCACTGTGTGTTGGACAGTCAGGTAGCTGGGCTTGTAGCTTAACCTCACGTACCATTAGTGTAACGTGCCATATGACCTTAGGTGACCTTAGCCTCATCAATCAAGGGCCTGTGCTTAGCTTCCAGGCCCAGTGAGAAACCCTCCTCTCTTTATGGGAGACTGGGCAGGTTTGCCATACAAATAAATATAACACAATGATTATAATTTCACAAGGCAGTACAACACATGTTCATGTTACTGCAAGGCAAATTTAGATAAAATTTTTATTATATATCATTATAGAGAGGTATTTTACTAAAAGTTATTCAGCTGCTTTTCTTCTTACTTTCTTCCATGAGCTGATCAAGAGTAATGTAGGTGTTGGGGGGGGGGGTGTTACAATTTGCCATGACAGTGATGTCACCCTTTGGCAAAGAGATAGGATCTTGATTGGTTTTTCATGTTCAGAATTATGTTTACCTGAGGGATTTAAACAAATCTCTTCTCCCAGGCTGTGCATGTTGTGATTTTTGAAGAATATGTGTTGAACATAAGTGTCAGGGGAAAAAAAAAAAAGTAGCGTACTCCAGAAGTAATTCGACTAATGTTATTTTTGGACGCCATCTTTTCAAACATAGTTGGCCCCAAGCGTATAACAAAGTCTGAGCATTAACAGCATCTTAAGATAGACAATGCAGCAGTTATAGTCAAATAATAAAAAAAACAACTGATCAAATATAAGGTGGATAAAAGCCAGAAGGAAAGATGGTGGGAGGGGGCAGCTAGGAATAAGAGTGTTAGTGTTGTTTAGTTAGTGTTAGTGTTAATGTTAGTGTTAGTGTTCATGTTAGTGTTAGTGTTAATGTTAGTGTTAGTGTTCATGTTAGTGTTAGGGTTAATGTTAGTGTTAGTGTTAATGTTAGTGTTAGGGTTAGTGTTTGGGTAGGCTTGCCTGTGGACACAGCAGAGTTGTTTTTTTTAGGGCACGGCAATGGCAATCCTACCGGGTGTTCAGTCCATTGCAGGTAATGGAGTCAGGTCACGGTCACAGAACCTGAATACCCATTTGGTCGGGGTGATCCAGGACTTTTTTTTATACCTGTTTGAACGATTGCTTCAGTCTACACATCTTCCAGCTTTGCGCAGCACTCACTCACTCAACAGCTACGGTATGCGCTGGTAGCCTTGGCGAAGTGCGCATGCAGGAACATGACCCAGGGGGTGGGGACACCAGCTGAATTGTGCCATGGGGGACACGGGTGACTCAGATCCTTCCTCTGCCAAAGACTGAGGACGTCTCCGGTGCTAATGAAAGATGAGAGTCACTTGCACATAATGGCCGTCATGTGTAGGGTACAGCGGTGGGTGGGTCCTCTGAACGCAGGTAAACCAGTCTTGGGTTTCCTGACAGCCAGTTTCTTCGTAACCTGAGTTTGGCTTCTTATGATTAGTAGGCAGGCTCGAGAAACAGGATAGTAATTCAGGGAGGGCTGTTTATAAATGTGTGGTGTTCTGTGTAGAGAAAACGCTAACAGCAAGAGCTGTGTTCCGGGAAAACCCAGAGAATTGTGGGATCTATAGTCACCAACATTAGGGTTAAAACTTCTGTAGAAAAATATTACACTACCCAGTTGAGCACATCTGTTGACCATGACCAACTCTTATTTGATGTTGAGTGAATTGCATATTTGGTGTGTTAATGTTAGTGTCAGGTAACAGCATTGTTTTTTGATCATATTATTGGGAGAATAATTGGCATAATATGTTAAAATTCTAAAAAGTCACTGCGTTCCAATTGAATAATCTTCTCATGTTCCAGTTGGTTCTCTCACCTGATACAAAGGTCTTCTCAGGTGACTTGGTGACTCCATATTGCCTCTGCCCTATGACACTATTTGTGTGTGTGTCTGTGTGTGTGTGTGTGTATTATGTATATATATTATGTTGTGGGGACCACCTGTCCACAAAATTTGATAAAAACTTGTTATTTTGACATTGTGTATTGCATTTTTTTGGTCCCTACAACGGGAAACTCAATTTTATAAAAATCTGTCACGACAATCAAAAAACTAAAAACGCCAAAATATACAATAAAATACAATAGGGTCCTTCAAATCCTTGTTGAGTGTGCTATTTTATTAAATTGACCTTTCAGTAAATATTTGTTTCTGAACAATTTACAGTCTTTGCACATTGCAATGTGCAATCTTACGATACTGAACCTGGTGTCCGTGACATACCTATTTTCCAGTTGGCTGAAAGGAAAAACCAGTGTCAGTAAGAAACTGGGAAACAACATTAATTCAGAGTTTTGGAGATGCCTGTCTGTGGACACCTTCAGCGCAAACAGACATTCTCCCAATATAAGCATTTGGTTTAAATGACAATGACTACGTTTCATTTCGGTGTCACAACATTTTCATTAATAGAGCTATTTGTTTGCAAAAATGCTTTGTTTTGATGAAATTGTGTAAGATGGCATTTTGCAAAGTGCTGACTCGCCACTCTTCTCTCTCCGCCAGGTTGAGGAGAGCTTGTCAAGAGGTTGTCTCGTGCCTCCCGAGGAAGGGGGGGGGGCAAACCAGGCCATCATGGAGAATGAACAGGGACCCCCAGCCTCCAGCGCCAGCAGCAGCACAGGAACCACTAGCGCCACCACCAGTACCCCCAGTGCCACCACCAGTACCACCAGTACAAGTGCTGGGAGGCAGGCTGTGCCTCAAATCTCCGTCTACAGCGGCATCCCAGACAGACAGACAGTCCAGGTATGAACACCAAGAAGAGAAAAAAACTCTCAGTCAAAGGTTCCATACTGAACACAGCTTAAGCAAAGGCTCAGGAGTGAAAAACAGCATGTTCAGTACTGTATACTAAACACAGGCTGAGATATACATTCAGCAAAACAATGCATGTTCAGGAGTAAAATCACCAGGCTCAGACAACACATGTGGATGCAAAACCAGGACCGCTGGCACACAGCCTTGATAAGTAAAACCAACAGAAACTTGAAATTAATTCAGCATTTTTAGTGTGCAGACATTGATAGAAACATCTTAAAGACTTAAAGACAGCACACAACAGCCATGTAGACTGAGATAGCCAGGCTCAAGCACCACATCTTCAGAAGAACCAGGAGTCTTCTGCAAAAAGCCGTGAACTCCAATGCCTGGATCAGTGAATACATCCGGGTCCTGGGCTGGACTGGCTATCCGGGGTACCCAGTATTTTCCCAGTGGGCTCTCTGAGACCCCCCCAGTCAACAACGTTTTGTTGTGGGAACCCCCCTACCTCAGCAAAAGACCAGAGCGGATTTTTAATCACAATCCAACCCGGTCCAAGTTACAGATATATTAATTATCACTGCCATGAAGCTTAAGATGGTTACGCACATGAAGCATGTGCTTCCAGGGAATGATTTTCCTGTACAGCATTTGCTTTCAGTTTTCCGGTTATATAACCTAATGCACCAAAATACTCCTCTGCCCCCCCCCCCCCAGCTCTGGCAATTCAGGTTACCTGAAACTAGCACTTCACTCACACAGAATCACGAGAGCACTCTGACCTCACACAATCATGCCAGACACTTGTCACATACACAAACATACACTGTGTGTGTAATGAAATGCTTTTTCCACCCACTCCATGGATTTGCGCACAAAACAATTTCCTTTGGGAAAATAAAAGTTTTCTGATTATGACAAATGAAAGGCCTAATAGAAAAATGACATAAAAATAAATCAAATTAAAATAAAAAATAAATAAGATTAAACAATAAAATAAAATATTAAGCCGTAATATAAATTTCTGTATTTATATAAGGCAGTATAAGTCAGAAGGATGTGAAAAGAGAAATAGCTGAAAGAGCATGGTGACTGTATGGAGCTGTTCAGAGTCCTCATTTCGCGTACGGACGACCCGAGTCAAGTCAGGTCACTTCATTGTCATTTGACAAACAGCTGCGCCCTGCGATGGGCTGGCACCCTGTCCTGGGGGGTTCCCGGCCTTGCGCCCGCAGCCTCCATAGGCTCGAGAACCCCCACAACCCAGAATAGGACAAGCAGGTACAGAAAATGGATTAATGGACAAACCGCTACATTCTGCGGAAAATCGGACAGATTCACACAGAATCTGACAAACTGATAGCCGAACAATAAATACTGGATTTAAAAAATGATACAATAATAAAAGAAAACATTTGATGCAGAACAAGGCCTGTAGCAAGTAGACAGTGCAAGATAACATTATAGTGCAAATATGCAGGTGGAGACCGTTTCCATCAGCGTTCGTGAGGTAGGTGAGAGCTGAGAAGGCTGTGGTAGGACCTCCCTGACCACAGCAGAGAGAACAGGCCGTTGTTGGGGTGGATTGGATCTTTCATTATCTTCTTTATTTGCCTCTGCACCATCTTCTGTAGGTGTGCTGCAGGTGGGGAGCACACAGCCAATGGTTCAGCTGAACACAGCACCCTGCACAGGGCAGTGTCGTCCTTCTTCTGCAGCTACTAAACCAGGTGGTTTGGGCAGTGTTTCTCAACAGTGCAGGTGTAGGATGGACTTAAGTATCTCTGAACTGACAGCCCCTTTGATTGTGAGGGGGCTGTACGGCCTCAACTGTCTCCTCCTCAAATCCACAATCAGCTCTTTTGTCTTGCTGATTTTAAGGAGCATATTGTTTTCTTAACTTCAGCTTACCGAGTTCTCAACGTCCTTCTGGTAGGTTCTCCCACCATTGTTGAAGACCACACTTACCACAACAACAAACTTAACAATGTTACTGGTGTTAAATGTGGCCGCACAATCATACATGTATGGGGAATCCAGCAGGGGGGGGGGGGGGGGGGGGGTTCTGAACTCAACCTTGGGGAGTTTCTGTCTTAAGACTGAGGCGTTATGAAGTGCAGCCGTCCACTCACACAACCTGGGGTCTGCCCATCAGAAAATGTGGTTACATAGGATGACGTTCGGCTTCAAGTCCTTCAGCTCACCGATGACCTTGATGAGGATCAGGAGCATGACTCAGGGGCCCAACACTGGGCAGGGGGGCTTGAATAAGTAAAATTAGTGTTTAATTTGTTCCTGATCCTGCCGGAACGTGTTCGGGGACCTTTCTGTTTTTGGCTGTCTATGTTCTGGCACCAATTTTCATGCAATTTCAAGTATTATTAATTAATTGTGAATTAATTAGATTACAATTATTCTTAAAATACACAGCATGTTTTCGGCACCACGTCTTCCAGGACCGGCACCCGTCTCGTTACCCCTCCGCTCACATATGCCCTTCCAGGACCTTCTGATTTCCAAATTAAACACTGCATAAAATTATACATGCAATTGGGCAGGGGGGGCTGAAGTGGCATTTTGTCAGTAGGCCTAGAATTTCTAGGTACACCCCTGGCAAGGATTATTGTGTTACTGTTATTGTGTTACTTATTGTGTGACTGATACTAGAACACTATTCTCCCAGTTTTCAAAAATTCTCTCCAGTAATTGTTCAAGGAGATACATAAAAAAAACAGTAACTCCGGTATCAATTGGCTTCATGGACCAACTTTACTTCTTACTTGACCACTTGGGAAATAATCTCCTGCCACCTGGTGGTCAGATTTACAATGACGATAACCTCCAATAACCTAAGGGAATCGGTCACTTGTTTCCACCGTTAACTTACATCCATTTGTTTAACCTTCCCATTTGTTTTCTCAGTATATCTTAATCATTAACATTATTGGCGTGCAGAAACAGTACTCTACGGAATATCGTTATAATAGGAGTCGATTGAACAAGCGGTCAGAAGATGGATAATTATTAAACACTTCGAGCGTTTAAACATTTTGTTAGGATTTTGAAAGTCGGGTATATCTCAGCAGTCTGAAAGCTTGGTATTTCTGCTAGTTGAACCACTTGAACGTAATGTAGTTTATTGAAAAGATGATGGAATTCTCAGTAATACGTGCTATTGCTGCCCTCTACTGGCATGATTCGGTTATTTGATTTATTTTGTTTGGCGCATTGCACGAAGTATTTCAAACTTAAACATACAACCCTGTTTAGACCTATACATTTAACACGTGCATTTAGCAGTTTTGTTACCTAAATTAAAAAATACAAGCAATGCAAAAACGACCCTAAAATGGGTTGATGTAATATAGATCAATAAAAAAATATGAAGTCTGTGGTACAGATCAAGAAGTAATTAATAAAGGTCGGAAGAATGGGCTTGTCTGGGGGTAAAGTGGGTTTTAGCCCCGCTGAGGGCAAACGTAATTCATCACGCTCGTCGTCTTGTAAGTTGTCGTCCAACATTGATGACCAGCGATCGGTAGTCATGGCAGCTGAGCTTTTGCGCTCCGTCTGCAGTTAATGTCTCTTGACCCATATTGACCCCGCCTCCAAAAAAAATCTACGGTAAGGCGATACTTTGCAATGTAGAGTAACTTTGTGAATGCGTGTCGACAAAAAATAACATCTTTTCTATACTGTCGTTTGTTATCATTCAGCTTTTCTGTGTTGGTCTAGCTGTGATTATTTCGTAAAGGTTCGATTGATAGCGAACGCACGCGTCTGTGTGTAAACTGCTGTAAAATCCACTAATTTCTTAAATATTTTGGTAACATTTGTGTCTAATACTTTTTTTGACTAATCGGCCAACGAGTTTCATATTATTTTAATTAGAAACGTCAGCGATGATACCATACAGTCATCCTGTGCAGAGGACGGTACACCTTTGGATATAAGTCGGATGCAGCGTCTCCTAGGCAACTGAACCTCGGACACAGACAGCAGGTCACCTCCCATTTTGCGCCGTTGCCTGGCAACCGCAAAGAGGCTGCCAGTCAGTTTGGACCAAAAAAAAAAAATCCTCAGTCCAATAACAAAAAAAGAAAATGAGGGGGTGGTCCTGGGGATGAATGGAACCGTCACTGGCCGACGGGGAAAAAAGGCTCCGGCGATTCCAAAGTATCATCCCGCATCCAAAAATCAGAAACAGACATTTTTCACTAATCTATAGAGGCACTTTATTTATGCACACTCCAGAGTCTATTTAAAGCCAACCAAGACAACGCCTTCTGGATGCAATGCTTTTTTGCAAATTCCTGGGTACGGAAAACAGTATCGTTATCCGTTCTTCAGGTCTCTGTAGAGCTGAATTTCATATTCAAAAACTTTTTCCTGATACTTCGTACATTCGCGAAGCTGTTCTCAGATTGAAGGACAAGTTCTGGTATGTGACCTATTATATTCTTACGTCTTTCTTTGAGGATCTCTGTACATATAAATTAGTATGACACTGCTGCGTTTTTTTAGATGAAGGGGAAATAAAAGGGGAAATCATCATTTTGTTCGAATAATAATGCATGTTACTAAATGATAATTATACTCTGTTTAAAGCCGTTATAGCTAAATGTGCGTTTTAATACAGATTACATAAGTTAAATCCATCCGTTGTAGGCTATATACCCACTTCGTTGTTAGCAATTAGAACGCTGATACTGTACAAGTTGATATGTTTTCATCTCTGTCATTTTGTTCTTGGGGGGGGGGGGTCTCTTAATCCAGCTCATGCAAGGTCACTCTTTCTGCAGATTTTAAGTATTTAGTTAATGGAATTGATTTACCAATGACCTCCTTGCAACCAGCACTCTGCTAGTTGAGCTGCTGTGGTCTGCCCAGTCTGTTTTTATCATAAGTGTAATCTAGCTCTGGAAATGTGGAAAAACACTGCTCAGTGCATCTGAGAACACACTAAACCCTATTCCTCCTGCTATTTCTGAAGTATCTTTTTTTACACATTAGACACAGGTTCCACCTCTGCTACATGCCAGATAAAGGTATTTACTTTCTATATCCCAGCCAGAGGTGTCATCCCTGCTCAGTTATGAGATCTACATTCATTCAGCAGATGCTTGTACCTAAAGCAATATACAGTCCCTGGAGGATAAGAGAATCACTCGAGGGGCCAGTGGTGAAACGACTCTGCTCTCCAAGGGATTTGAACCAACAGCCATCTTAATCTGCTGAGCCACACACAACCTTAAACAGAAGTGGCCTCCTCTTATATATTATACGGCATCCTGTTCCTACGCAGTACGCTCACAAATTACCTTCGCATGCTAGACACAGGTATTTTCTCTGCAGCATGCTAACCCTGTTAGGATTTCTGTTACATGCCATGTCCACCTGCTCTCTAGCTACATTATAGATGTTCTCTCTGCCAGCAGCATCTCTAACTGTTGACAAGATCAGGCGCTAAGTCAAGTTAACCTGGGGCTTGGCTTATTTTTTTTAAGGAAGGTTAGCATCGGGGCTAAATTCTCGACGCTATGCTTAAAAATACTCGACGCTAAGCTTAAAATACTTGTGGCTAGGCTTAAAATACTCGGGGCTATAGCCTAACGACACCCATGCTCTTCATATCGTTTCAGGTTTCCTCTTCTCTACTTCGCACACGGCGGTGATCTCCCTGATGATGCTCGGCAAATGTATTTCATTCATTTCGGCAAATGTTCTCCCAGGTCATCCAGCAGGCCCTGCACCGGCAGCCCAGCACAGCTGCGCAGTACCTGCAGCAGATGTACGCAGCCCAGCAACAGCACCTCATGCTGCAGACCGCCGCCCTGCAGCAGCAGCAGCTGAGCAGTGCGCAGTTGCAGAGCCTGGCAGCTGTGCAGCAGGTATAACAGACGCAGCCACTTTGCATGCAGACACAGCGGGTAATTAGAGGCACCCTTTGGGTGACGGGTTATGACACTAATATGACAGGTGCAAACAAAACATGTTTTCGTGGCAGAAGCATGACTGGGAGAGTTCAGAAACCATTACTTCACATGCAAACTTATTTTCCTTGTATGATTTGCTGTTTAGTAGAAAAGCAAAGAATGCTTTTGAGATATGCAAAAAAAACACGCCACTTTATTTCACAGCACAGCGCTTCAGGGTAACAAGTTGTAAAGCAGCATGACACGTTCCTTGCATCAAGGTGCATGTAAAACAGAATTGTTACTAATTTGGGCTTTTTAGTACTTGTAAGACTCGTTCAGGGTAACATTTAGCCTGTGCTCATGGGATACAGACATTTCTTTCTCTCTATGAAAAGGGAATGTCTCTCTTATCCATGTTACTCTCACTTTCATACACCCATTTGCATGTCTTGAATTAAAATGAAGTGCGCAGTGGGACGGATCATAAATGTCACTGCTGGGGAGCATCTCAGCCATCATACGATAAAGGAGCTCATTCTGTGCCAGCCTCCAATGAAACGTAGGAGGACACATTTTTGGGAGTTTCTGGGAGCCTCCCATACTTCTCACTTCTTTATAACAAAGCCTTCAGATTGCTGTTCACTCTGCTGATCTATCATTGCCCATTTGAAACATTCCATTAGTGTTTACTTCTACTTTGGGCATCAATGTTGTTAATGTGTCAATAATGTGTGAATATTGTTGGTGAGACCATAAAGCCCCACTTGACTTGATTCGACTCGACTCGACTCGACTCGACTTGATGGGATCTCATCCATTGCAGTATGAGTTGTTTGACTGAGTCAACGTGCCTCAACTTAGCAGAGGGGTAGGCAACACTGTTCCTGGAGTGCAGTATCCTGCAAGTTTCCTATCCTCCCTGATGGGTTACTATCTGCCTGAGATCAGGTGTGGTCCATCAGGTAGGATGGAAAACCTGCTGGATCAGGGTTACTTACCCCTGATTTAGTATGTTCCAGCTTTGAAATGTAATGAGGTAATTTAGAAGAAAATACGACAACAGAGAGATCAATCTCATCAGACAAATCCAGACTGAACTAAGTAAAATTTGACGAAAGAGAACCTGAGAAGACAGCAGGTCTGATATTTCAGTCAGTCTGTAAATCTATATATTTCATATATGTCTTTCAACTATGAATTGATTCTAAAGGTGATGATACGCAGGGCAACTTTTCAAGCAATGTTGCCGGGCAACTGCGAGCCAGGGCAGCTCAGACAAAGGGCAACTCATCTGGATCTGGATGATTGCGAAAAGTTTCCCACAGCTGAGCAAAGTTTCTCTAATTGAATTTTGTTGCCTAATATCAATGGGAAAGTGCCTGAGCGACATTGTTCAAAAAGTTGCCCCGCGTATCATCACCCGTAGTGTGTTTAAATGTGCTTTATGCAATAAAGAATCCAAACAAGAAATAGTCAACATTGAGGTACAGTCCAGTGGTGGGGTTTCCTGAGCCCCTGAAGCAAGTTGAGTGGGTGGGAGGGGGCATGGGGAGTGTGCTTACATGCTGGAGTTCTAAACTGGCCCTGCATTGTCTGTGATTAATGCCTGGTGTCCATGTGCATGTTCCCCCTTCGAACCCGGACCCCCGGATCTTGCCTCCCCTCTGTCTTTCCCCTACAGGCCACCATAGCTGCGGGGAGACAGGGGTCCAACCAGAATGGCACCACATCCCAGCATGCGGGGTCCACTCAGACCACCGTGAGTCTCACACACCCCTCTCTCCATCTACAGGAGAGAGCCAATTCCTAAAATGCCGTGTTTGGACCTCCTGGCTTTCCGTAGGCAGACACAGTACTTCCTGCTCGCTCTCCAAGATGGCAGCCCCACCTTTAATCAGTGGTTATAAATATAAATACAGCAGCAAAGTCGTAAATACAGCAGCAATGTCTGACAGAAACATGCAGACGCCAAATGGCAAATGAGTCACAGTGACACTACACACAGTGGTGAAGCAACTTAGTGTTTTCTTTGAATTCGTGTTTGTGTTCTTTATTTTGTGCGTGCATTCTGCACTTAAATACTCCTTTTCTTTGTCTAAATTCCGGAATGCTTAAATACCATTTTTAGGCTTTCCTTAGAGACAGGAGTTAAACTTCAGAGTGACAGAGGTGTGTGGGTGGACACCCGAGACTATATGAAGTATCTGACGAGTTTTGATCCCTTGACAGCAAAGCTAAGAGGCTTCCTCTTCCTGTCCAGATTAACCTGACCACCTCTCCGGCGGCTGCCCACCTGATAAGCCGGGCCCAAAACGTCAGCTCCGCCCCCTCCGCAATCTCCCAGCAGGCTGTGCTGCTGGGCAATGCATCCAGCCCCGCCCTCACCGCCAGCCAGGCACAGATGTACCTGCGTGCCCAGATGGTAAGTGTGGGCATGAGTGTGTGTGTGCGTGTGAGTGCGTGCGTGTGTGTGCGCATGCGTGCTCTGTGTGCCACGTTTGCCTGCATCTGTATGTCCGTGTGACAGCGGCAGCCACGGCGATGCTGGTTGTCACGGTGTAGTAGTGAGAAATATTCGTAGTGCCTCTGCTTTTCTGCATGAACGCATAGAGAGTAGATTCTGTGGTGTTGGCCTTTGTTTTCCCATTGATGAGAAAAATGCCCGACAGCATTCACACGTTAACGGTGAAATGATTCCAGATTATGATAATGCCATCTGTCTTTTCCCAGAATCATTCCACTCTTATAGCTGGAAGAACAGCAAAAGAGCCCAACTATTTCACATGTTAAACAATTACATCTCTGTCAATACCGGTCTCCATGGAGATCTTCCACCTTCACTGAAAAATACTCATTATGCTTGAAGTACAGTTTTTATGATGGCAGATATTTTGCAGGCATAGTTTTTGCTTGAGATCATATATATGGTCAAAAATTATTTACAGATCTCGTACAAAGTAGTAAAGGTTGCCAGGTCAAAGAAAAATGCTACATTTATTAATTATAAATTAAAATAATGCAGGGAAATTCATAATTCATTAATAGTAAAACAAAGTTCTGGACAGAGGCTGATTGCAGGTGTTTGTAACTGTTGCTGTCCACTTCTGCATCTATGATAGTTAGTACTTGTATTTGTTGTGTCTTTTTTTATTTCCTGTCGTCCTCCCACCCTGCCCCCCTGCAGACACCGGGAAGGGAGGGGGGCTCTGTCTGGTACTGTCTGTCCAGTACCAAGTCCACACAGTGGTGCTGAATGTTTCCTCTTTGTGTCATCAGATGAAATGCACATCAGTCCTGGAGCATGCCTCCCCCCCCCACCACCAAACCACCATCACTACCTTTCTCTCAGGCCCTGGCAGCCTGGGCCATTTTGGGACAGTTTGCCTTCCTCCCCCCCAGTACTAGATAGTTTGTGAATCACCCTTACCCTCCCCCACTAACCTCACTTCTCCTGGGGTCATTCTGACCCCCAGTTCCCTCTGTCGCCACCCTGCAAGTTCCACCTGAATCAATCCCTCTCTGAGTGGTTAAAGTTTCTGGAGAGATGGCTACAATTAACGTTCTGCCTTGTGGTGTGACCGGGCATTAGAATGCAGCAAGGGCTGGAATGGAATTAGACAATGAAGTGATCACACCCTAAATACTTCCGGAGCCCCTTACACCAGTGTTTCCCAACCCGGTCCTCTGCCATGCCCAGGCAGTCCACGTTTTCCATCCGTCCCAGCTCCCAGCCAAAACAGGGAGCTGACAGGGAGCTGACAGGGAGCTGAGAGGGAGCGAAAACGTGGACTGTCTGGGGGTTCCTGAGGACCGGGTTGGGAAACACTGCCTCACACAGCCAACCTTCTAATGGTGCTTTTCCACTGCCACCAAGAACCAAGCCGCATCCGAACCGCAAAGAGACCGTTTTCCATTGTAAAACATGCGAGCTGTACTCGATCCCTACCTGTGCTGAGATGGGCCTGCTTACCAGCAGGGCCAAAAGTGTGACTAAACCATGCTGGTTGCATCACCACCTTCTGACTGGTAAAATGCACAGAGACAAGAGAGAACCATTGATCTGTGGTGATGTACTATGGTACGGCAGAACAGAATGGATTTGTAATGCAAATTTATGCAAGCTAATGCTAATTCTGCTAGCATTTGATGCTAATATGACACAGCAATTCTCACAGACTTGCTCGTGGAAAATAGCTTATAGTAAGTCATGATTAGACCGTGTTAACGGTAAGTAAGCATCTCTTTGGTCACTGTCGCTCTCCAAACTCTGCAACGCTTTTACCGAGTTGAACCTTCTGCAGTGGAAAACTGAAGCGAACTGGAAACATGCTGTAACTAGTGTCTGTTCGTGGTACGGCTCCGGTATGGGTCGGTTCCTGTATGCCAGTGGAAAAGCACCATAACTCAGTGAACCAGGGTACCAGCCCTGAGACACACACACACACATACATTCACCCCAGCCACATAGACTCCTATGCTTACTGGCCGCACACATACACTACAGCCACTTGATGGCACCTTTTAATCTAAAATGAAACAAAGATGCCCCCTTTAAGGTAACACATACAGGAAATGCTCCATTTAACTGAATGTCTGCAAAACAGGCCTGTACCCTGGATGCTCCTATTGTGACCCAAGCGTTTGGCTTCTGCCAAATGATTTGCAGCCCAAGTTCATGCTTGCTGGGTCTTTGGAAAGCAGCAGACAGGGAAGAGTGATTGTGGGAGCTGTGGGCGTGGGGGTAGAATTAATGAGGGGAAGCCCATCAGACAAAATAGGCAGAGTATGATCATATATGCAAGGCTGACAAAACTGTACAGAAAGATGTTATTTAAATAATTTAAATCTGTATAATATGTGAATGTATACAAGCAATTTTATATGTGTATATACTGAAGGATAAAGCATAAAAAATGGGGAAAATATTATGTATTATATCAATATTCGAGTACTGGTATGTTTTATATTTTAGTATGATATTTGTGTATAGTTGCTGTGCATGTTTCTCTACTAAATATATCACAATGTATCCTGCATTCTCATGTGTCAGAGCTGTTTTTACCTGGATGCAAATTTTCGTTTTACAGGGTGGTTTGGGAAAACGCATTTATATTCATGAGATGAGCGCTACCTGATTGGCCAAGTTATTAATATTCATGAGAGAAGCACTACCTGATTGCCCCATGAACATGCTCCCATCAACATGTGCTACCAGTTTTTTTGCTGTCAAAAGTTTGCCTGATGGTCACTGGCCAATCAGGTAGCACTCCTCTCATGAATATTAATGAGTTTTCCTGAACAACCCCGTAGAACGAAAATTTGCTACCCGGACAGGTGGGATTTGCACCTGTGTTGCTGTTGGATGTGTATCCCTGGCTGGGCCAGTAGGGGGCAGTGATTAAGAGCCGCTGTATTCTGATGTGTGATTTCCAGGCACAGCAAAGTAACCTTGTGCAAGTAGCTAGGAGCCTAGGCCGTGCTGTTCCTTTGTCCCCCCAGCTCATTTTCACGCCGACCGCCACCGTGACCGCGGTCCAGCCAGACGCCACCACACAGTCCGCCGGGCAGCAGTCCGCAACCGCGCAGGTATTGGGGATGTGTGATGCACGCATGCATAGACACCATAGCCCACACTCACTGCCTCCCTCTTCAAAAGACAAATTGGTGTCACTGCTGGGCCAAGCCTGAGAGCTACAGGCCTCGTGATGGAGGAGAACCAAAACTGCTGCTTATTTTAAAATACTGCTCTCCCTGTTTCTTAGAAAATGAATATTTTTATTATAAATGAGGTAGAGGAATCAGACTACAGACAAACTTCTTACATAAATTTGACTTAAGTAAATCCGGACATACACATAATTAACAGATAGCAGTCATACAAGGCATCTGAAGTACGTTGAGCTCAAGTTGGCCTAGACTGAGAGGCAGAGAGCTGCATCTTCCCAATTATCGTGTGTCGTGTGCCGTGAATATATCTATTCCAATTAGTGTGCTGATTTATACAAAGATGAGAATTAACTTCAGCGCCGGGCCCTAGGGGGGGGGGCATGGTGGTTCAGTGGGGAGCGCTGTTGCCTCCCACCTGTGGGACCAGGGTTTGTGTTTCTGCCATGGCTCCATGTGTGTAGAATTAGCATATCCCCCCCCCCCAGGTTGTCATGGGGTTATTCCCTGCCTTGTGCTCATAGTCTCCAAACCCTCTGCACCCTTGTGTCACAAGGCATGATGTAAAACTGTTTCCAGGGCTGAACAGTCCAAAAACCCCACCCTTTGACTCAGGCATATTATTCACTACAGCTTCTGTCTTTCGCAAGGCATCATTAAGGATGAACAGGGAGCGTAACTTCATTTCATTCAAGCTAAAATAAAGGGGAGGGCAAGAAACAGGTGAAAGGGAGTTTAAATTCCTTTCATTCATGGTGAGTGTAGCTGTTCTGCCAGAAGGATTTATAGGTACACAAAATGAAACGAATGAACACTTTTCTTGACAGGTTCAGAACCTAAATTCCAAAAAAAAAGAGTTCATTTTGGCTGTGGGTTTGCTGCAGCTAATCCAAGTCATCATCGGTGGTTTGGGGACGTTTATATTTCCTAATAAATTACACCAACATTGGAGAGAGAGCAGTTGATAAAACCAAGGTTGTCTTCGGATATGTTGCTGGAAAGACACAAGAGGACATCATCTGAGTGTGTGTACAACCAGGACTGGAACACGCCAGTTTCTGCATGTTAGTTTCTCCCTGGCCTTTAAGCAAATTCAGCTACAGATAGGCAACTGTATTCGGTAACAGAGAACCCTGGACTTAGTTCATTGTGATTGTTATGGTATTTTTGATTTAAAAATTTATTTTACACATTTTATACAATGTGCAAATAAGCGTGTCTTGTTATCCCGACACGTCGACAGACAAACTGCCTCTGGTTTACAACTGTCCCTGATTGTTTGTGAGGTTTTAGTAAATAAAATGTCTGTTTTCCCTGCTGTACCGAAATTGCACCAAACTGTGAAGCCAAAATCGGGGTTCGTACTAAATCAGGAAATTTCTGTAACATTACATTGCAATATCAAGCACGAAAAATTGCGAAAATGGCTGGTTAGTTTAAACAGCCACTTCCTCCTCTCTCTCATCACGTGGAATGTGGTAGAAGGAGAATTCTTTTGTTTTTCTTTTTGCTTGAGATCGATTAAAACACTGAGGCACACAACACTGCGGTATATTGGCATGTACTCAGGTTGGCCACGAAACAGTATTGTCAGTATTATCATGATTCAAACATCATGACTTAAGTGGACAGGACAAGTGGTTACAGGAAATGGATGGATGACTAGATAGTATTTAATATGAGTAGGGTCTATTTGCATAAGTCAAGGAGTGTCTGAATTCATTTGTATAATTTAAATCTGATAAAAAAATCCTGTTCATTTGTAAAAATTTGTTGTCACAGGTTTGTGTTTGGTGTGCCCATCTTTTTGCCCCAATAGGTGCAGAACTTGGCTATCCGCAGCCAGCAGGGGGCAGCATCGTCCTCCCCCTCCCAGGCACAACTGCAAGGCCTGAGCCTCAAGCAAAGCCCCCTTTCTGTCCAGCCCACGAGCCAAGCCAAGGGCCCCGCCCAGGCGAGCCAGGGCTCCGGGGCAAAAGGTGGTGCCACTGAGGGCTCGGTGGAGACAGGGAGGAAGGGGGAGGGGCTGGAGACCCACCTGGTGAACATGAGCCGCAACGGTCCCTCTGTGAGCAGCCATCCCCTCATCGCTCCAGGTGGGGAGACGTGCTGACCAACACTCCCATGATGCATTGCTGTGGCTTCTCTTACCAAGGTCGAAATTCCTTTATATCTGCAGCTGGTTACTTATGCTTGTGATTGGTTAATTTAAATAGTTAACAGGCATTTTGTCTTTAGAAGACCTTGTAATGCTATGTTTCGCATTTGCTGGGATAGCTCAGCATACCTAGCACATAACTCCAGTGTACAGCACAAGTTCTCTTACTGGGATTTCCCCCAGCAACATCTTTGTCTCCCAGTTCCTTGGCAATATTGTCCACTATTGTCCTCAGGTTTTCAGTGGCTAGTAGTATCTTGTTATAGGACTGGATTGTCTGGAAGGAATAGTGTTTCTTGGCTTGTTCGGCCTCCATGTGTTGGTATCCATGGTACGGTCACGCCCCCCTTTGGGGAAACCCAGAGAATTGGATATCGTCTTTCATCTCTGAATGCTGATTGGCTAACATGCCACATGATCACAATGAGTCTGACTGATTGTCTGAATTAGAACAACTGTGTGTTTGTGTGTGTTTGTGTATTTCATCCATGAAAAACATCGTTATTTACAATTATTAATGAAAAAAATGACCTTTTGGTGCCCTGCAGGGGCAACCATGAGACAACCATGTGTTTCTGTTTCTTATGTTAAAACTTCCCAAAACATATAATTTTGTACCAGATTTTATTTGTTTTTAAATCATGTCATTCGTTTATTGCATTAAAAAGGAGGTATTCCCTGTGGTGTCAGAGTCCAAGCTGCACCCGCACATGCGTATGGGAAATCCCATTTCTCTGCACTGTGTCGTAATATTGAGCTTACAGTAAAAATCACGGACACGCCTACCAAAGATGATTTGAAGGGGGTGTTATGGTCACCCCCAGAGCACACAAGCACACTCACACACCAGGGATGTCACAATCATACCAGGAAGAAGGAAATCACGCATGCAGATAAAGAAACTGATAAAGAATAAAGAAATTGAGGCGTGACGAGTCCTAGAAGGTTCTAAGGGCAAAGAGTCGCCTTTGTGAAGCAGTATTTGGTCACTCTTGTGCAGTAATAATCAAACAAACAATCAAACCGTCAATGATTCAGTCAATCGTTTTGACTTTCTGTACAATAATGTTTGTTCCAAAGTGCTTCACAGAGAGTAACTGGTAACACTTTACTTGAGGGGACACAAATAATGTAGTATTATGCTATTACTTATGTATTAATTAACCACAAAATAAGTGTTGGTTACAAACTATTCAGTAGTGAGTTGTCACATTTTATCTCAAGCAAGTACAGACGCTCCTCTACTTACGAACTTTCAACTTACGAACTTTCAGACATACGAACGAAGAGGACTGTAAGTCCAAATTGTATCCCTTGGGCTCCCGTTTCCTGTCTGCAACATCAATTTTTTTTCCTGCGCACCTATTCTGCCTGGTACGACTTCTGGCCCCTACTCCCGCCGCGCAACAGCGTAGCGTGCGTACTCCCAGCATACTAGTTCCTTGTACTTGTGTATACCCTAAAAAGAATGTTGAATAAGAACTTACGAACATTTCAAGTTACTAATGGCCGTTAGGAATGTAACTCATTCATAAGTAGAGGAGCGTCTGTACTATATTTACTATATCTGTTAATTATGAACTACTGAAGGAACAACTAATTAATAGCACATGTAAAATACTGATCTCATGTTTGTTCATCGTTAATGAGTTGCAATACATCATTTATCCCAAGCAGTTACCATGTTAATTACTATATCTGTTAGCTCTGTAAATCATTGTGAACTACTGAAGGAACAATCATGAATAACACAAGTGAAACACTGATGTCACGTTTGTTCATCCTTAAAGAATCGTGATGTATGTTTTATCTTAAGTAAGCTATATTTGTTCATGATTTGTAATTCAGTAGTAACTGAGTTACTAACTATTTGTCTCCCTTAAAGTTTTACAGAGTAATTTTATACAGGAAATTAGAAAAACAGATACCGAACACCCACACATTTCCTTTTAATGGCTGTAACCATGCCATCCAAGAACTACTCTTAGCCTTATTAGGCATATGTTGTGAAAAAGAGCCCAGTCTTCGCTCTCAGGAAATCACGCACCAGCCGACCGACAAAATAAATATATATTTATAGAATGTAATTGATTATAATAATGAAGTAAATAAAAAGATCATGCAAAGATTTCTTGTACAAAGAGTAAACGATATAAGTATGCCAGGAGGGTAAAAGCTTGCATACTGGAATTATGACACCCATGTTAAACCCTGTGGGTTTCCCAGTTAACACACTGGAGGCATGACTGAGACTGACTGTGTGGCCAGTGATCAATCTGCCAGAACATGAGCCTGTGCCTGGTCTGGCCCCTTTAAACAGGCACAAAACGGCAGGTGTCTGAGGGGATTACAGAGAGAAACTGCTGCATTGTTCACTGTAGGGTCAGAGCGTGGTAAATGGACCAAGTGCCTTAATGCCCCAGTATGTTTCTTGTATTTCTACCCAGAGCTTGTAAACTAAGAATTGTATTTAGATGCTTTATGACAGTGTTTCCCAGCCCGGTCCCCGGCGACCCACTGGCAGTGCATGTTTTTGCTCCCTTCCAGCTCCCGGAGAGAGCAAAAATGTGCACTGTCTGGAGGTCCCAGAGGACTGGGTTGGGAAACACTCTGTGTGACATCGACGCTCAGCATTCCGTCAGGTTTAGCCAAGGGGGGGCATAATTCAGTGCATGTTGCAGTTGTTATTCCCCACATGAGTGGGAAGCAGAGCGCGGTCCCTGCCCCCATCATTCAGATCATCCAGATCATCTGGACACGACCGCACTGGCTTCTGAGAATGGGGATTTTCCAAGGTGTGTGTCTGTTCAGCCACAGCCAACCTGGAGCAGTTCATAGGACAGGTCTGACTCATCTGAATTTGGGAAAGAAACCCCCCCCCCCCCAGCCCCAACATCAGAACCACCCCCACCATTTCCTCTACCTCCTCTCCACCCTCCAAGCCCTTCACTGTTTCCCATTAAACCCTTCCGAAAGCCTTTGGCAGAAACTGGGAGTACTCTTTTATCTGGTTCTGAGTCAGAAGGACTGCTTTATACACTCCCCCTCCCAATTCCACATCCCCTAAAACTAAGGATAAGTTTTTCTTGAAAAAGTGAACCATTTCAGGTTCACCATGTCCCTTTGGTGGTCAATGGTTAAAGTAGCACCACTGTCACCCATCACAGGAGCCTTTTGTACTTCTGGTCGTTCCCTGAACGTTCCGGAACTCGGCGAGGACATTTGCAGCTCAAATATGATACCTTATTCATTTAAATGAAGCCTGTGTGCACGCTTCCTAAGATAACATTATTTTGTTTTATAGTTGCTCATCTTCTAGAACTTCAAAAATACTGAGCTGTGAGGCACCAGAGACTACCAAATTAGACTGTGCGCTTTGTGTCGCGTGTCCTACTCTATAGTGATTGCTATCCCAACGCAATGTCACTCCTCAGTACGATAGCTAGCAAAACAGCTATGCCATGAGAGCTAAAGAATGTAAAAAGACAATCAAACTAAATCTATAGTCAAATTTGGGAGCTAAACCCTCTTTGGGACACTCTCTTGGTTACAAGTCTGCTACTGAAAACAAAGGGTTTATTATTAGGCATAAAACAGGGCCAGGGAGCCTGAACTGTGTTCAGGAGAAATATGTGGGACACTCTTGGGGACGGAGGGAGTTTTGGGCCCAGATTCATACCGTTAAGCTTCCAGGAACGTGGGCCTGTGAGATTCCTTTAGCCCACCTTATATACCCTTGATCCCGATGGTGAGGATGGTTCACATTTCCGGAGTCTTCACCGTGGGCTGGTAGGATGCTCTGGATCACATGGTTTCTGAAACAGTTCCTACTTTGTTATGTGTAGCTTCATATAGAAGGTACACTTCCCGTGTTGTATGCAAACAAATAGATGTAGTTCCTGTTTGGAGGATGCCTAGGTCATTATATAAATTTGCTTGCATAGTATGAATGAATGAATGAATGAATGTTACACTTATACAACATTTTTCAAGACATCCAAAGTGCTTCACAGAACCAATGGGGATCCACTTCAACTGCCCCCACTTTGTAGCCCCCACCTGGATGACAAGACGGCAGCCATTCTGCGCCAGTACGCCCCCCACAAAGTAGCTACGGTGGTGAAGGAGCAGGAGAGAATTCACCTGTTAGATATAGGGGATGATATAGGAGGCCAAGTTTGAAAAGGCCACAGAGGCCTGTTTTTTTAGTATTTCATGGATATCTGGATCACAATGATTTGTTTATAGTAGTATAGTTGTGGGGTTTTAGACTTGATTGTAAGGAAATTGTGTTTGATGCATATATGGATTTTTATGGATTTGTTTGTGTGTTAGTTTGTTCTTGAGGAATAATTGGATCATTAGGGATTTGTGTGCTTGGTCAGGGATGACTGACAGTCATCTGTATTGTTAGGGATGTGTATGATTGTTTTGGGGTGTGTATGATTGTTTTGGGGTGTGTATGATAGCTTTGGGGTGTGTATGATTGTTTTGGGGTGTGTATGATA